GTGACGATTCCCCGGACCTTTTTAAGCTTGCCGCTCCTCAAATTTGTCAGAAATTTGTGATTTTAGGAAAAACGCCACTTTAAAAAATTCTAATTTTTTTATCCAATGTTCTTCATTGGTGGGAGGTTAATTTGAGACAATAAAATTTTTTTCGGAAATATATCCAATTTAAGAAAAATGGAAGAAAAATTTTGGGTTCCGGGGAATCGTAACTTTTGTCTAATAGGGTACCGGGGAATCGAGGCCCGCTAAATCCTGCGACAAGTGGGTTCCGTTTCCCTGTAACTTGCATAAGTAAAAAGTCCAGGGAATCGGAACTTTTGGGTGACGTTTCCCAGGTCCTAATTTCCAATCCCCCGGCACTTGAACCAGACTGACAGTGGATTTTAAGTTCGAGATAAAGCAATTCACGCACTCATTGGGGACTTTATACAATCCGTGAAATCCGAAAACCTGCAAAATTTTTTAAATATATCTGAAGAAAATTTGCTTACAATTTAAAAAAAAACTTACCCAGATCAATGGCGTATTTTCAGTTTTTAAAAATTTACCATGAAATTACTGAGAAAGCAAAAGTAAAAGTCGACCCGAGGGATTACTTGAAAATATTTCTTTATTCGGGGTACTCACGAAAAATTGATTAGCATTTTAAAAACTTGATGCGAACTCCAGCGACGCAACAAAACTGATAGATTATGATTTATCTCTGATATTGTTTTACTGTTTTACTTCATGACTTTGTAACCTGCAACAGATAATTACTGGTAAATACATATATAATTTTGAATTAAAATTTTAAATAGGTTTTCCAAATTTATTCGGAGCAGTATTTTAAGTTTAATTTTGAAAATTAAAATTTTGTAAGTAAGAGTTTACCGTTGTGCTAAAAGTATTTGAAACATCGAGCATATTATGGTAATAAACAAGATGTTTTCATTTTCTCTGGTATTTTGAACGTTGGAATTTTTTAAGAGCTTGACGTTGTTTTAGTATTTCTAAAATTGGGTAGATTAAAGGAAATACAAAGATCACGGCCTGATGATGCCACGTCGTCTTGAAGGCTCCAAGTTTATATTTTATCATCTAAAACCTAGTATTTTTCATATTAAATGAACCCTTGCATAATGCAAATTGCAAATAAATTCTAATTCGCATAAGCTTTGCAAATTTTGCAAGATTATGTTTCCAATATTTTTCAGGACTGTAAAAATCTTTGTTAAACAATTCTTACACATTTCAAAGTTTTGACAAGAACTGGAAAAGTTCTTGTGGTAGGATTTATGGTCTAGTTCGGTATGCATGCGAAGAAGATTTTCAAGAAAACCCACAAAGCGACAAATACCTCGTCAAAATTAAAAGGATGAAATTACGGAGAAAGCAAAAGTAAAGGTTGACCTGAGAGATTACTTAAACATATTTTTTCGGGGTACTCTCAAAAAGTTGATAAGCAATTAAAAAACTGGTACAAAAATTGAGCCACGTAACGAATCTGATAAGATTATCGTTTTTAATATGACAGGTTATGTTTTGAAACTTTGTAACCTGCGACAAATAATTAATTGTATATGTAAGTCTTTTTACGCAGTTTTTCCAAATTTAATCGAAAGATCGAAATACTACAAGAAATTCAAAAAAATTATTACTGTTCGCATCAGTTACTTCAACACCATGCACAGTGCATCTTAATAGACTTTATTAAAACCAGAAATGTAGAAATTGTGTAAATGGCGGATAAGCCTGGCAAAATTTCCCTTTTTCTAAACAGTGAGGTAATTCACTCAGGCCTTTGTGACATTGTGAAATCCATAAATTTTGTATGGTTATAATAATAATAATAATAATAATAATAATTTATTGCATCATAGCCAACAGCCTTTGCACATCATGAATGGTTACATAATATTGATATCATAAAATCGTAAAAAAGTAAAAGTAATTATTGGTCAGAACATAAGTCAAAATATTTGGCGACTTTGTAATATTTGGCGACTTTGTAAATTTTGTATGGTTAAGACATTTAAAAAAAATTTTTGAAATGTTTGGGAAGAGAATTAGCTTGCAAATTTTTGAAAACTGGTTCAGATCAAGGGCATCTTTTTATTTTGTATTTAAAGGATAGTAAAATGATTTTGTAAAATTTATGGATTTCAATCTATTCCCAATTAATTATCAATTATCGACTTGACAAATAAATTTTTTAAAGTTATAAAATTTTACAAAATTTTGCAGCTATTTCTAAAAGTATAATTACCTTACAAATTTGTATACACTTAAAGGCGTCCCTTTATTTTGTAAAAATTTGTGAAATTAATTTCCAAAAATTTCCAAATTTTACAAAGTTACAAATGACTGCTTGAATTTCCTCAATGATGCCAAGTCGCATTGAATACCCCCAATTTCTACCTAGTTTATCTCATCATGTAAAACATAGATAAACCCAGAACTTCATCAACCAGATTGGAAGTCAAGGTAACGAAGAATCCTCGAAAGTGTAAAGTAAAGGAGAAAGTTCTCTCAATTTCCCCAATGAAATTCTTCACTCACGAACTTTCCAACAAAATTAGGAAGTGCAGAGGGAAGAGAGAGAAAGTCAAGGCAACCATGTCCCCGAGTGAGAACAAGCCAAAAGAGAAAGTAGAAACGTGATAATAAATTGGAGATTAGAAAAAAATAGCGCAAAATAAATCAACAAAATGGAACCGTACGCGGTTTTGAATTAAAAAAAGGGGAGAAAAAACTTTATGACGAACCGTACATAAAGCAGGCTAACCATTTTTTGCTCTAATTACTTCAGGTTAAGAATTTAGAAAATTTCATAATTGTAATTTTGTAAGACATTATCTAATTTTGTGATTTTGGTTCTGTTTAAAGACATCAATTTAACAAAAGGATTTTCAGTTTTACACAATTCACGCAGTTATTGGCAACTTGTAAAATCCGAAAATTCTGTAAACTCTTACAAAATTTTACAAATATTTCTGAGCAAAATTAGCTGTCAAGTGTCAAATAAAAAAAAACGGGAACCCGTGCTGTATTAAAAAAGAAAAAAAACTTACCACGAACCGCACGTAAAATAGACTAATCATTTTTGAGCGAATTAAATAATTTAAGGTTAAGAATTTTGAATTTTGAACTTGAGAGGCCAATATCTAATTTTATAAATTTGATTCTGTTTAAAGATAAAAATTTATTTAACAAAAAGATTTTAAGTTTGACGATAAGACAATTCACGCAGTCCTTGCTAACATTGCAAAATCCGTAACTTCTGTAAACTCTTACAAAATTTTACAAATAATTCTGAGCAAAATTAGCTTTCCAATTTTGAAAAAAATACGGAAAAGAAATCAGTAGAATGGAACCCGGAATTTTGAAATTTTATTCAATTTTAATTTGGGAGGACGAGATCTAATTTTATAATTTTTATTCTGTTTAAGATAAAAATTTAACAAATGGATTTTCTGTTTAACATGACATGACAGTTTAACATGTCGAGTTTAATAAGACAATTCATGCAGTTGGTAACATTGCAAAATTCGTTGTAAACTTTTACACAAATATTTCTGAGATAAATTAGCTTTGCAATTTTGAAAAATAACGAAAAAAAAACAGCAAAATGGTACATGTTTTTTGTTAAAAAATAAACGAAACTTTACGACTAACCGTGTATGAAGCCAACCATTTTTGAGGGGCTTAAACTTAAATTATTCAATTTTGAAATTATTCAATTTTGAAATTTTGAAATTTGAAATTTTCTTAAATATGACCTTGTATGGGCTGAAATCTAAATATAAATATTATTCTGTTTAAAGTAAGAATTTTACAAAGGGATATTAAGTTTGGCAATAATACAATTCCGGCAGTCCTTGGTAACTTTGTAAATCCCGTAAATTCTGTAAACTTCGACAAAGTTTTACAAATAATTCTGAGGAAAATTAGCTCCAAATTTTTTGTAAATTTGCTCAGACCAAAGACATCTTTTAGTTTTATACACGCCTGGAAAATTATGTTACAAAATTTGCCTCCATATTTCCTATTGGAATTATAAATAGGTCGAAAGAGTAAATTTGCTCCAAACTTTAATCCATGCCAAACTTTGTAACGTGTAAAGATTGTTAAGTAAAACACGGGAAAAATAATTTTACAAAACTTTCAAAGTTCGCATTCAAAATTCAAGATGTTAAAGGATTTGATGCCAAATAATAGAAAATCTCAAACATTTAACTATCTACAACATGGAGTTTTGTAATATTATGTAGGTCAATTCGGAGAAAAAATTTAGAATTCTGACTCACCGAGTCAAGAACGCTGTCCCTGACTCGGGCTATATAGAGTCTGCACTGCAGGTTTTAAGAATTTAGCTGGAAATTTGACATTTAGTACGAGCTTGACGCCGTAGTCATAATATTCTTAAAATTTGAATAGAAATGTTTAACAAGGTACACGGTATCCTGAGTTGTTGATAGTAGGCAAATTGACAGAATTATTTTTTGCACAAAATATTACATACAAATATTTATTGCAAAAACTTGCAAATTGCAAATATTTAGCAAAACCACGACACTTTATAAATATTATTTCCTAATTGTATAACCTAAAGTGTTCCAGATTCATATTGTAGGCTGCGCCATAATCTGTCAACTCTGTTCTGTCTGGGTAAATTGTGGAACAAAATTGCATCCTTATTGTTTACGCGAGTTTCCGAAATTTGACAAATTTCGCAAAATTTGCAACATTAAATTGACATGTGGTAAAAACGTTTTGCAACGTGCAACATTTTGCAGATTTGTACTATTTGTTCCAGGTATTCATCCTAAATATGTGCGTTTGTGGGGAGGAAATTGTACAGATAGTGTTTCAAGTTTCAAAATTTTTCAAATTGTTTAATTTAGAAAACAAACATTAATTCGAACGGTAAAATTTGCGAGATGGAAATTAATATTTAAGCCAATTTTGCAAGTTTTCAAAGACCAAATGCAAAATAATGCCAAAACTTATCCGTATTTTCCAAAATTAATACAACGACTGACCATTTTATTTAAATATCGATCACAAAAGTTTATTTTTAAACTAATTATGTGCAAATCACAGTAAATCCATAATTCGTTTCTATATTTTTACATTTTTTCTACCGCCTCTCTTAAAAGTTTCACATGAATACAAATTTTTTAATTTACAGTTCTCGCTTACAGTTACGCATCACGTATGTAGATACTCCTAAGTTCTGTGTAAACGTTGTAAAATTGGCCTTCATTCAGGACTTATCATAAATGAATTTATGTAACTGTACAATTATTTTACAAAAGAGACATGTGCAATTTTATAATTTATTTATTCGCCTTTACAAATTCGTAGAAACGCTTCGAAATTTGCAAAGTTTACTGAGCTATAAATATTGACGTGAATTACGTTATACATAATTAATTTTCTCGTCTCAACTTTATCCAAGTTTTAAATTAATTTAAATTTTACGAGTTTCCGCGCCCCAAATATTTTTCCCTAATTTTGTCTCACTTTTCTCCAAATATATTAGGCAATTCACGCAGTAATTGGTAACTTTGTAAAATCCGTGGAGCTTTGTAAAATAACTTTACAAACTTTTACAAAATAAAAAGACGCCCTTGATCTGAACAAACTTTAAAAAATTAGTAAGCACATTTCCCTTAGAAATATTCGTAGCGTTTGTAAATTTGCGAATTTTACGGATATTACAAAGTTACCAAGGGCTGCGTGAATTTCCTAAATTTAAAAAATAATTATTTTTCTTATTTTCAATGTTCCTTAATCGTCCAAGATTTTTAATTAATTTAAATTTTCCGACTTTTCGCGCTCCATATTTTCCCCTAATTTTGTCTCACTTTGCCCCCGAAATATATCCCCCCTTTTCACTTCCTCTCATACGCCCACCTTCCCCACGCCTCCTCCTCCTCCCCCCCACAACCCTCTTTAACCTCAAACCTCACATTGTAATTACACCTTAACAACCCAACCCTCCCCTTTTCCACCTCCTCCCTCTTAATCACCCCGCGCTCCTCTAAGCGCTCCACTTTCTCTCTCACTTTACCCCCATCCCGCCCCCGCTGCACCTCCGCGACGACCTGCTTCATCACCTTATCCGAATTCCTGTCCTCTTCCTGCCTCTGAATTTGCAACTTGATCTGAAACTCTTTAACTTTATCTTTCAAATCCCGCTCCTCGTCGCCAAACCGAATTCCAAACCGTTTCATTTTCTCTTCCAGTTCAATCTCCTTTTCGAGCTCGGATCTCACCCGGGTTTTCACCGCGTCATCGATGACATACTCGTACCTAGCGTAGGGCGGGTAGACCACGGAAATCGGGACTTTTTCAAACCATCGAAGAATACTGAGTTCCGTTTCGAACCCGAATTTTAACCGGAAACCGTACTTTGATCCGATTTTTTTCTTCACTCCGATAAAGTTTTTTTGCCAATCGGACCGATAAAAGGAGCCGGGATGACCGGGGATTAGGATACCCGGGTTTTCCAGGACTTCAACGGCACTCCATTCAGAGTTGTAGGTGATCCCTTCCGGTTCGGAGTGCTGGAGGGCGAGTTCGATTAATAACTGGGGGGTAATTTCGGGTCGGACGTATTCGGGGTTTATGCCACGTTGGGATTCTTTAAAATTGTCGAGGATTCGGTGCACAATGTCTTCCCCGATTTCTCCGATTTTTCGTTTTTCCCGGACTAAAATGACCAGCTGGTATTCATACGAGGTGAAAAGATCAAAGGCTGTGGTGATGAAGATGTCGCGCAGGGCTGGTTTTTGATCGGCGGGGAAGTATTTTTCGAAGGCGAATTCCTCATCGGAGATTGGGGTACGGTGAGACGGGTCTAGGGCGGGATAGGAGGAGTAGCGGGAGTAGAAGAAATCGTCGCAGTATTCGTCCGCCTCGTCTTCGGAGGAGGGGGAGGAGGACGTTCCGTGGTGGTGGTGATGGGAGGAGAATATGGTCGATTCCATGACGGATACGAAGGTTTTGGTGAAGTGGAATAGGAGGCGGGGTGAAGTGGGGGGTGGTAGGGTAAGGTGAGGGGGAGGAGGGGTGATTTTAGGAGTGGGGGTGGCCTGGGGTGAAGTGGGCGTGGTATTTTGGGAATTATTGGTTTGTGAAGTGGGCGTGGCGGCGGGTAAAGTGGGCGTGGCCGCCTGTGAATTATTGATAGCTGCCTGCAAATTGGATGGGGCAAGGTGCGAAGTAGGCGTGGCTCCGTTTGAAATTTGCGGGGTCTCCTTAATTTCTCCTTCCACCCCACGATCTGTCGACTTGACATCCGTCTCCATTTTTTGACTGGTGTAAAGTCCGTTTCTGAAAAATACAGGAAACAGGATGATTTAGAAGTTAAACAGATTTGACTTTGATTGTTGGAAAATTTTCAATTCATGATCGTTTAAAAAAAAGTTGAGAAATTATATGAAAAATGTACACCAAAGATTTTCTGAATTTTAACAAGTGATCAACAATTACCATTCAGTGTTAACAATGTCGGTGTAAATTAAACAAACCTAAATTTCGAGTATGTCTCAATGCAAACTTTTAATCGAAACGAGCAGAAAAATAATTTGCTCTGTTCGAAGTCATTTGCAAATTTTTGTGAGAGATGGATTAAAATTAATGATTTCTCAGATAGTCAAAAGAAATGACAAAAAAATTATTAGATCAGCTGGTTAGAAAACTTTACACCAAACGTGTCGTCTTTAAAAATATTCCGGGATGCATCGTTCCTTTTCCTTAAATACAATTTGCAGAAATTACATTCATAATTTTAATATTTTGCGTAATGGTTTTCTACAAAAGTTGTATTTTGACGTCGTTTTACAATTGTTTTAAATAAAGGTTAAAAAACGTAATTCGTAGATTAGACGAGTACGTATCCACAAAGGTTTGTTTTAAGTTTTAAAGAATTTGCAACGCCTAAAATTGTGCATACAGTTTTAACAGCTCCCTTTTTATGAAACTTGCAGATTGCAAATTAAAATACTTTGAGCGTCTCGGATTGAAATCTCGCAAATTGAGAGTAGCACAACAGAACTTGCGAAATTTTGCGAGATATGTGAGATTTCGCAAAAATTTTACTGGAAAAATATGTGATTTTTTCACAAATTTACCCAGGAAGAAGGCGTGTTCTTATTTCTAAAAATTATTTCGCCAACTCATCTTCACCATCACCAGCAAGAGAAATTACAGAAATCCATTGAAACAATATCAAAATAGGTGCTTTTAGTAGATTTGCAAAGTCATATTTTGCGAATCCACTCACTTCTTAAATATTTTGATCTTCTCAAGTTTGCTAAATGATTTGCGACGCGAAATAAGACATTGTCGTGAGTAAGCCCATTGTCAAACTTAAAATCTCCTATTAAAATTTATGTGTTTAAAGAATTCTGAATTCAAAATTAGATTTTCTCGTCCGGCTTCCGTAGTTAAAATTTAAAAATTCACACACTCAAATTTAATAACTATAACAAAATTCTATGAAATTTATCGTCGAGATTTCAATTTTCCCCAATTTTGTGAAATTTTACTAATTTTGTCACTCCTAAATTTGTGCATGCAGTTTCATCACTCCATTTTTTGCGAAACTTTCTCACAAATTAAAATTTATGTCAAATTTAAAACCCATTTTTTAAATTTATATTATGTGGAAATAATAATTAACATTTCAAGGTAAAATTGCGTCACTATTTAATTGTCAAAATATCAAAATTCCAAAATTCACCCACCTTAAATGACTAATAAATAAATTTTGAGAATAAAATTCAATGGAATTTATTCCAGCCAACGAGTCTCCAGGCTCCAGTCAGGTCCGGTTCAGTCTAGTTTTTCTCATGTTCAGTCAGACCCAAGCAAGAAAATCTCACCTTTCTGGTCACTCCTGCTGACCAACTGAGAATTCAACACGGCACAATTTTACCTACATAGATTTTTTTGTCTCGCTTACTTATTATTATGCAACAACAACGAGCATCATGTTGACGACTGCTGACCATTTTTGGTGTTCTCACCTTCTCGCCAAAATCCGCCTCTGGTTTTGTGTTATGTTACAATGTGTACCTCGTCCTGTTGACGGTGGGCAGTGTAAGTAAAGTTTGCACTGTAAAGTGAATAATTTTTAGCTTATTGAAGGTCTCCCAGCGTAATAGCCTCCGATTTTAAGAAAATTTGTCTCATTCGGTACGGAATTTCAGTTAATATGAAGTTTGCGAAAGATATATCTACGAAGAGACAAGGTTTTCAAATCCCATGATTTTAATTGAATTTTTACTTTGTAAAATTTCAACTACACGATTTCACGAAAACATAACAAATTTCGGGAAATTTTTAATAATTTCTTGATATATTATTTGCCTACCAGCGCGATATGCACTCCGATTTTGAGCAAATTAGCCTTAATCGATTGGAAATTTCATTAATATGAAATTCGCAAAAGACACGATCTAACTATGGGCACGTTTTGCAGAGATACTTGCATCCAAAGAGGAGAAAACACGCAGTAAATTTTGAAAGTATAAAATTTGTTTACTTTCAGACACATTTTCTCCTCTTCGGATGCAAATATCTCTGTCAAGCGTGCCAATTGGGAAATTATGTCTTTCGCAAATTTCATACTGATCAAATTTGCGACCGAGTGACATTAGTTTGGTCAGAATTGGAGAGCATACGCTGGGAGACCTCCATAGTAATTTAGGAAACCTACAACAAATTTGGATGTGTTGTGTTGCATTTGTTTGCTTGCGAAAACTGCAATAAAAATCTGAACCCAACCAAATCTGGACTATTCCAGGGTAGAGGTTGAGTTTGGTTTTGGTTAACTTTATGCAGGCGACATTGGTATCATTATTTTTATTAGTATGCCATTCAGCAAAGCCAAGGTGGGCAGGTAAATGAGCAGAAAGCATTAACATTATCAAGTCATCAACAACTAATTTGTCTCCGCTGTGCGGTGGTAAAAAGACGGCTGTAAAAAACAGCAACGATCACAGGTAGAGAAGAGAGAAGCGAGACAATATCTGGGCTCATTTATGTATGTATGGACACACTAAATAATTTGGTAGTAAAATTGTCACCAGGATGGTAACGAATTCCGTAAAGTAATTGTTGGTTATCAGGTCGGTAGAAAATTTGAGGTGGTAGAAATTATGGGTACCATTTGGTAGAAAGCAATGCTATTCATTTAGAATTATTTTATTACCAAATTCATAACGAGTTTCTACGCTCTAAAAAATTTGGTAATAAAATTGCCACCGCGATTGGTAACGATTTGTCATGAAAATACATAATGATGGAGTAATTGTTCGTTATGATGTCGAAATTATGGGTACCATTCGGTCGCGAATAATGTTATATTATTACCAGTTCGTAACAAGTTTAATTTCAGAGTTAACGCTTTCGGTAATAAAATCGACTCCTCAATGGTAATGATTTGTCACAGAAAAAGTAACCAATCAATTCAGTCCGATAGGAAAAACTTGAATTTCATTTTTAATAGTATTTAATTATAATAATTATCGCTACCATTCGGTTACACATTTTATGCTTATTTTATCTATTACCAGGTTCGTAACAAACTTTAATTTTCGCAGAAAACAAATATTACCACTTTTACCAAATTCTTTCACCAAATTAGTAATAATGATCATTACCATTACCGGCAAATGGTGGATGGCAATTGGTAAAGCGTTAAAGAGTGGCAATTGTGGAGTGGCAAATGGTGGATGGCAATTGGTCAAGAGTGGCAATTGTCGAGTGGCAATTTGTGAGTGGCAATTGTTGGATGGAAAAGTGCATAATACCCATTACCACATAAGTATTTAGAGTGTTGGCTCAACCTAACCAAGATAATAAAGAGATCAATCCGTTCCTGAAAATGGATAAGTATGCTCATTCCTTTTTATGGGCATTCAAATGCATCTCGCGTATCGTTCCATGCGTAATTAACCTGCCTAGAAAAAAATCTATACTGATGCAAATCACGGAACCTGCATAAAGGATGTGAGTTCATGTAATTTTCCTGTAATTTGGACCCCTTCTGACCTCAAATGACCGTAAAAGTGACCTCAAATCCCCCTAAAAAAATCGATCAAATCCTTTATGCAAGATCCATCCCCATCTAATTCTCACCTGGCTTTTAATATTAATTAGTAAATGAGTTTGTATGTATATCCAGTAGTGCTTCGTAACCTGCACTTTTTTCCTAATGAAGCAATTCATGAAGTCTTTGGTAACACTGTAAAATCCGGAAACTTACAAACTTTTACGAAATTTTTGCAAATATTTCTGAGGATAATTACTGTTCATCCAATATTAATAGTCGCAATTTCTTGGAAAATTTTCTGAGAGGTTATTTGGTTGCTAATTGAAAAATAAATAATCTACCAGGTAACCTTTCAGAATTTTTTGAGACTAATAATACTGGACCAACAGTAGTTCACAAATTTTTGAAAGCTTAATCAAATCAAATGAGCAAATTCACGCAGTCGTTGGTAATATTGTAAAAAAATTATGTAAATTTATAAACTTTTACAAAATTTTTCAAACATTTATAAAGAAAATTCAATTCACACAGTAACATTGTAAAATCATTAAATTCTGAAAGTTTACAAACTCTAAATACAAAATTTCGCATAGCTCCAAGGAAAATTAGCTCACACATTTTTGTGAACTTGCACACATCCTTTTATTTTGTATTTAAAGGTTGTAAAATTATTTTGCAAAATCTGCAAAATTTACAAAGTTACCAAGGACTGAGTGAATATTTCGTGAATATTTGATCTAATTTCTTTTTTACTAATTTTAAATTTTGGATGGATTTACACAACGATAATGGTTTATCTAGAATTTGTACTGTTGTAATTAACATTTAGATTTATTCCCATTTTGGTTTTGGTCATTTTTCAACAAAATATATGACTCTATATTTAAAATATTTACAAAGTACAGATTCCTATTTATTGAAGAACTATTTTGTTTTTAAATGCACGTATTTTTAAAACAATAGCGAAAATATTTTAATGATTGAAATCTAGAAATATCTAATGTGTGTAAGAAAATGTAAAAATATTTTGAAATTTTTGGGAACTACCAGAGTTGCTCAAAATTAAAGACAAAATTAAGATAACTGTTGAAACTTTACGGAAATTTTATATTTTCATTTCTAGGAAAATGGAAATTCATTCCTGGATAAATTTTAATAAAATTCTGATCAAGTTAGATATATATAAGCACCAATTCTAAAATTATAAAAGTTTTTATTTTATTTTATTTATTTTATTTTATTGTTAGCCCAAAGTCGAATTTATCGTCTCGTGGTTTACTTAAGAATACAATTTTTTAACCAAATCTGCCGACCCCATCCGCAAAAATTGGTCGCCAAATGGTCGAAAAATGAACAACCCGACCGTCGGGTTTTCATACGGCTAAACGACGTCGGAGAGACGTCGACTAATGCGACGAAAATTTTGCGACCACTTTTAGCAGTTGATTCGACCATCATATTATAAGACAATACGAACATATTATTTTAGGTCAGTTTAACTACTTTTTCAACGCCTTTTCCACCGTCGCATAATTGAAAATTTTTCAACGGCTTTGCGACCGTTGCATAATTTAAGATTTCTCAACGTAAAATCCACCATTTCCCCATCCAAGTGCCATGCTTCCGCGATTCTCAAGTCAGTCCACACCATCGCATTGTGCTCATCGAGTCACACTTATTTCTTGTCCTTCCAAATTAAAAAATAAATCTTCATGTCATCCCAAATTGACAAGGCAAAAAAATATTCCATAGTCCGATTCCTCAGGGACAAAGTTAGTTGAGATTGTCCCAATAATATGGATCGAAGAAGACCAGAAAGAAGTATTTTGGCCACCTTGTAAAGGATCTGCCTTAAAGACTATGGTGAAAAAGTGCGAAATTGTTCCGCTGCCATCCTGGACTTCTCACACTTTTGAAAAAATTCTAGGAAGTTATGGTAAGATTTAGAAACATCTTTTGTTGTATAATAAAATGTCGGTTCAATGTATGGCCTGTGATAATTTACTATTATTATTAGGTTCATTTCACGACGCCTGTTTGAAGCTAAAACAAGCTGAGGATACCTCAAACATTGAAAGTAGCCAGGAGGACGACATTGGAATCCGACGTGGACGCAGGGTCCAGAAAAAGAAGGATGTCGTAATTGAGAGCCGTGATTCAAGTAGTGATTCTGAATTGGATCTGGATAATAGTTTATTCCTTGCTCCTCCCACAACGCAAATCAGTGAGGATCAATTTGACATTACGATCGGTAAGTTAACTGGGTTAACTTCTATTTTTATATTTCTTAACATTTATATATTTAACTTGTTTTGTTGTCAAGAATCTACCGGCGACCAGCCCCACCCTCCAGATGAGAATAATCAGCAGGTAGCAGTCGTTCCAGAAATTCCTCAACCTGTTATCGTTCAAGAGGATTTTGATGTTGAACAGGATCCTAAGTTATTTTTGGCGACGGCAGCGGATACAGCTGACATCAAGTCTCTAATTGAAGGCATGTTTTTGTTAATATGTTATACATATTATATTTCTATATTTATGGCTATTACACTTATTACAACTTATTTTATTAATTTGATGCTGTTTAGGATTCATGAAAAAAGTTTCGAGTTATTAGAGAGACAAGCAGAAGATATAAGGGAAATTAAAGCTGCCATTCACACGTTGCGTGCAAATTCACAAGGTGGCAATTTGCTCCCAGATTATTCTATTATACCACCTTTGCCGATCGCTGGGAGATTGGAACTCGTGGCTTTTGAGGATTGGCTGAAATCATCCGATTCCCATAAAAAACTGCTGGTACAATAAAAACATATTTCTTAAATAATGTTGATCCAAATTGTGTGGTAACTGAATTTATGAAACTGCAGATCTCATATTTGAGTACAACTGGCGGTTCAAATACTGACAGGAATACTAGGCAGGTATTGCTAAAATTAATTGGTGGCAGTTTGAGATGTCAAATTAATTATACCGGGAAAGGTAACAAAGTCGCACTGGAAAATCTGGAGATTTTGAAAATTTTAAAGGGTGAGAGCATGGTGTGAAGTAAATAAGTGTTGCAGCTGGTTTTCATAATTATTATTATGTCATTTAGATTCTGTCCGTACTCGGTATCCTGTGGCCAATGACGACGAGATATTAGGGACAGCAAAGAATTGGTTCAAGTACGCCCCTAAAGATGGAGAAGACCAATAGGACAGGTCGGTCGCCCAGGAATTTAAGACGTATTATTGCAAAACGAGTCCAACAGAACATTGAAAACACTCAGCGACAAATTACTCCTACTCCAGAAAATAATAATAATCATTTAAATGATATTAATACGGTAGATACTGGTAGATTAGTAAATAATTTTATTCACTCAGAGTCAGAGGAGCGAAGTCAGATTTTGTTTAGTTTAAGTGACACGGGTAGTGATGGTCCTTTTAATGATATTGATATTAGTGAATTTAAAGTTAGTTTAAGGGAATGGGCAATTAATTACAATATTACAGGTATTGCTACACAGGAACTTTTGAAATTGTTGAGACGCCATAATTGTTTCGAATCTCTTCCTATAGACCAAAGAACTTTATTACGCGGCGACATTCCAGTAGTTAAAACGATAACTAGAAATGACGATGGGTCATACTTTAGTTATTTTGGTATAACTAGTTCATTGCAGGCTCAATTCAACGAGGATTTTATTGAGCCCTTACTAACAAGTATTAGGGTAGCAGTTAGTGTCGATGGTCTTCCAATTTCTAGAAGTAAGTCGAAACAATTTTGGCCGATCCAAGTTTCATGCATTGAAAGTAAATTTGGAGTTTTTGTAGCTGGGTTATATTATGGGGAAACGAAACCAAAATTAGTCGATAATTTTTTGAAGGATTTAGTAGATGAAATCCAAGTTTTGCAAACGGTTGGTCTAATTCTTAATCATAGTATAATCAAAGTTAAATTTGATAGGATAATTGCTGATGCGCCTGCGCGTAGTTTCATTAAGCAATGCAAAAATCACAACTCTTATAATGGGTGTGAAAAATGTAAAGTTGTAGGAAAATGGACAGGTAGAGTTATATTTCCTGATTTATCTGCTCCTGTTAGAACAGACGACGAATTTTTACAGCAATTAGATATAAATCATCACTCTGGTAATTCACCATTTGCACGTATAGATTTTCCATTAGTTAGTTGTGTTCCTATTGATTACATGCATTGTATTTGTTTAGGAGTAGTTAGAAAATTGTTACGTTGTTGGATAAAAGGTCGAATCCCATATAAATTACCGCCCAGTAGCGTTTTAAAATTAAACGAATCATTATTTAATTTACGAACAAGCTGTCCTAATAATTTTAGTAGAAAGCCGAGAACGGCTAAAGATGTAGATATGTGGAAGGCGACAGAGTTTAGGTCATTTTTACTTTACACAGGTCCTGCAGTTCTTAAAAGTGTTTTGCCTAAGAGTAAATATCATCATTTTTTATTATTGAGTATAGCGACTTCAATTTTGATAAGCGAGAAAGCGCAAAATGTTGAATGGAATGAGTACGCTAACAAATTGTTTAGATTGTTCGTTTCAAAAATTAGCGACTTATATTCAGAAAATTTTCTAGTATATAATGTGCACTGTTTAATTCACATTGCTGCTGATGCCATGAATTATGGGAGACTGGATAACTTTAGTGCATATGACTTTGAGAATAATATACAATTTATTAAAAGAACATTAAGATCTCCTTATAAACCGTTCGAACAATGTATAAGTAGATTAAAAGAAAAGGAACATTTAAAATTGTCAGCCAAGCCTATATCTCCATCATGTCAGAGTAAATTTTCTAAAGGTAATAATTGTTATAAAATAGAGACTGGTGAAATTGTAATTATTATTAGTTATGTACCTGGCTCCGATACATTACTAGTTAAAAAATTTACAAAAGTTGATGACTGGTATGTTGTTCCATGTATATTAATTTAAGTTCATTAAGGCAAAAATGTTGGTTAATGGAGTTGGAAGGTGGCATTATTTGTATTCCTTTACATAACACTAATAATTGATTCTTTTGTAATGAATGATCGATTTTTGTATAATAAAGAATCACGTTGCCAATATTATCGTTGTATATTCATTATTAAATCGACGGATAAACGACGGTGAATTATGACCATAATGCGACCATACTTTCAACGGTATTTCGACCGTCGATTTTATGTTGATTCTGACGATCAAATCCACGTTGAATCAACGGTCGCATTTTAGGCGAATATGGATGGTTGTTTAGACTAGGTTCTGCCGGCCATATGTGACCAATTTCCGACTGCGTCGTTTCGACGTCACTTTCAACCAATTTTGCGGATGGGGGACTTGTTTAAAACACAGTCTTTCATAAATTAAGAAAGAAATAAAAAAAACATTAGGTGGAGAAATACCGTCTCGATTATTCAACTACGTTTATGTAATATTCGTATTTGTTTTGCGTAGAAATCCAGTATTAAAATAATACCAAGCGGTATTCATCTATGACTCTATCAAAGTGGGATTGATAAGTGATACCTTGTGTAATAACTCGGTATTTGAGTTTTACCATATAGGTAGCAAATTTTTACGGACTGATTGGGTCATATATTAAAATAAGGTATTAATGAATCATTACCATGCGGATTGACTATGTGGCTCTACCACCTCGGTTACGATTTATCGTAGAAATGGTAATAATAATTTCAGGGAAATTCAAATTCATTACCAAATATTAAGGAAGTTAATACCATTATGTATTAAATTTGAATTTCCCTGAACAAATTTAAAAAGCGCATAATTTTCAATTATACTTTTTAATGACTTCAAAAAGCAGAAAAAGGAGATGGATCTGTATTTACTTGAATTTATTGAATTTTACAAATATTATTACACAACGTCGAGCTCTTACTCTGAAACTTAACTTAAAAAAACTACTTGAAATGTAATTAAGAAAATCTGCTCAAAACTAATTTACAAAAAATGCTTGGAATTAAATTAAAAAATTGCTGAACCTTAAATTAATAAAAAGAAACTGCACACAATTAAAATTGTAAAACTGCTCAAAATTACAGATAAATTCAAACCAACTGCTACAAATTAAATTTGGAACACTATTTATAATTAAATTTAAAATTTACTTCGTAAAATTGAATTTGAAAATTTTCATGAAACGAATGGAAACAAATTAAAAATACTCCTCATTGATGATACAAATAGACAATATCAGTTTCTTCTAAACAAAGGAAAGGCAAATCTTGCTTACTTTAAATTAATATCAATATTTTCGAAGATTTTCTGACCAAGGGTATGAATTGAAAACATTCGAAATTTCAAAAAAGTTGAGTTTGCTATTGGATATGATAGAGCAACTATCTGGAATCACAAAAATGTAAATTTCTTGAAAATCTGACCAAAACTCGATTTTTGGCGATGATTTTAGTGCGGCAACTCTGGGGGTTTTGGCGCCTTTGAGAGGGTGTGGCGGGCGTAAATGGGCTCATGGAGTCTAACCCTCCTTCACTTTTTCTACACTCATGTAGTACTACAACATATCCAAAGGAGATCGAAATCGGGGCCCGACAAGTAATGACCTTCTACTCCTGAGTATTATTAATATAACGTCAAATTCCTATAAAATTCAAAATTTCAGAATTATTAATACAACGTCAAGTTCCTACAAAAATTCAAAATTTCAGAATTAGCTTGAAAAAAACTACTCAAAATTGACTTTGTGAGCTAATTTTCTTCAGGAATATTTTAAAAATTTTGTAATATAAATTTTGTAAAGGATAAGTAAATTTACGGATTTTACAGAGTTACCAAGGCCTGTGTGAATTGCCTCTTTGATTCTTAATTGTTATATAAATGTTCCTGAAATTTATGGATTCTACAAGTTTACAAATATTCGAATGCATTTCTCCCACATTACGGAACCTGACCCCTCCAATTTTACAAAGTCAACAAATTTATGTAATACTCTGTTAATATTCTGTCATTTATCCATTAAACGGATCACACATGTAAAATGTTTGTCAGTGATTTTTCAACATTTTTTTATCTTTGACTAGATTTTCGATTCACTCTTAGAAATCCAGTATTAAAATAGTACCAAGCGGTATTCATATATGACTCTACTAAAGTGGTGGTGACACTTAATACCGTGTAGTAAATAATAGCTTGGTATTAAAGTTTTACCATATCCGTCGTAATTTTCTACCGACCGAAATAATTTTAATACCAAGCGTTAGCAACTTTAATACTGAGAAATAAATTCCTCCTCATTACACCATGTTTCTAACAGTGTAAAAGTCCAGTATTAAAATGATACCAAGCGGTATTCATATATGATCCTTCCAAAATTGTATCGATAGATAAGTAATACTATGTATGAATAGGTCAATATTAAAGTTTTACCATGTCGGTAGCAAATTTTGTACCGACCGGTATAATTTTAAAACCAAGCGGTAGCAACTTTACTACCGAGAAATCAATTCCTCCTGATTATACCATATTTCTAACAGTGTTCCTTTATTCCGGTCACACACTTTATGCAAAATCCGGCCTTTTAAAGTGTTCCTCTTTACCGGAGGAGTCAACCCGACCCCGACGACGCCACAGTTTGCATACGAATCACTCCATTATTCCATTCAATTTACGGCCTGACTGCTTCCTAATGATCACAGGATTCCATTCTTGTGCTAATTGTGTTCTCCTCCCGTAATTGAATTGGAGATGAGGTGAGATGTATTTAACTCATTAAATTAAAAATGACTGCATTGAAAATATTGTGTATTTATTTTGGTGAATATGGGACCTGTTTTAGAGTCAGAGATTAGGTCAACTCATGTCAAATTTTAAAAAAATTTGAGAATTTCGGGGTAACATGACGAAAATAAGGACAAAATTTCGAAATTAAGGTAAAAAATTTAAGTTGTGGAAAATTTACAAGAAATAACTGATTAGAAATTGCGTCTTTGAAAATCAAACAAGTTCTAAAATTAATTTTATTAAGAAATATAGACTTTTAAATTTCAGTTGAAGAAATTGAATGCTATTTCATTAGTCGAATTTATTTACCAAAGTTGTATTTTTGTAATTACCAGAAGAAGCTTAGCAATAGATTTCCTGGAAACTCGAAATTTTGAGAAGATTTAATGCCGATTTTAAAGATTCTTTTATGTAGTATATATTATCGTGAAATAACAGGTAATAATGCGTTCATTTTGGCCTTATATTCATTCAGGTCTACTTTTCGCAGCTTTATCCACTTTTCTCTGATATGCACTTATCATTCCAAGGAAAAAAAGTTGTACGGGCTTGACCACAGGTTAAACAAGAACAATTTGAATACATTGATTTTAAAGATTTTTTCACATTTTTAATCTAAACCGTTATTTTTCAAATCCAGTGATTTTACACCTGCTTCTCAATTAGACATGTTTTTTATTACTAAATATTATGTTTGGCTTTTAAGCTTTTCAATTTTGTCTTTAAATTTTCGACCCGCACTAACTTTCCATTTGTGGGAAACATTTTAGCAAAATTTTTCCGGTCAATATTTTTACTTATGTATTTTATGTATTTTCTTTAACAAGTATATAAATAAATAAATTTGACGACAAAAATTAAAAACAAATCAAGTACTTGTTTCCAAAAAGAAATCTGCATGTTGAAAACTTGTATAGCATGTAATTTCGTATGTACAATTTTTTTAGGTTAAAAAATCATAAGTCATAATTTTTTGGCATATTTTTTAAAATTCAGGAAACTTATTTCATTCATTTGGAAAATTTGAAAAAATTTGGTTGATGTAAACCCAAATTATAAATATTTTTTTGAAAATCGAACACCAGAATTTGGTTTTTGAAGGAAACTTTAAAATACAGACTTCTGAATTTCAGTTGAGAAAATCTTTGATGCTGGTTTAACCATCAAATTGGACCAGGTAAAGGCATATTTAGGACAAAATTTATAGATGCAAATTGTTCTTTATAAATTGTGGTCAAGCTCTCACAATTTTTTTATTTGCGAAGAAATGTACTACCTTTTATTTTACGAAATTTTAACTGGCCCATAAAAATGGTTAAAATCGGCGTTAAATCTTCTCAAATTTTGGAATTAATAAATCTCCAAATTGTTCATTTGCAAAATTGTTCATTCGCAAAATTTGAAAAAATTGGCTTGAGTTTGAGTTTTAAACGCGAACTATATAATATTTTTTAAATTAGGACACCTCAAATTGATTTTTTAAGAAAACTTCAAGATCTAGACTTTCAAACTTCAGTTCAGAAAATTAAATGCTGTTTTAACCATCGAATTAGATCAAGTAAAGTCAAATTTATGGCAAAATTTATAACTCCGGAGAATAAATCAATTTGCAAATAAATTGCAAATAAATTTAGCTAGGGAGCGAATTTGTATTTTTTTAGGTAGTAGAAGAAGCTTAGAAATAGATTTCCTTCAAGAATTTTTAAAATTTGAAGAATTTTTGAATTCCAAATTTTGAGAATATTTAACGCCGATTTTAACCATTTTTATTGTCCGTTATAATTTCATAACACAAGAGGTTATACTTTTCTTTCCAAGTAAAAAAAAATTGTGAGAGCTTGACCACAATTGAAAATGAACACTTGGCATGTATAAATTTTGAAGATTTCTGCATATGTTTAATCTTAAATCTTAAACGGATATTTTACAAATCCAGTAATAGTGTTTTTATGATTATTAAATAGTTGATTTGTCTTTTAAGCTTTTCAATTTTGTTTCCAATTGTTTTCAATTTCATCAAAGTTTCACAAATTGCAATTTCCTCAAAAAATCTTGTATTCTTGTACCTAGATTAACTTGTGTTTAAAATTTTAGTTACGATTTTTTCAATTTTTTTTTTTATTTTTCGATTTTAAATTTTGGAAAATTAAAAAAAAATTGGATTTAAATGTTTTACGAAATTAGAACACTCGAAATTGTTTTTTTTCCAAACTTCAGTTGAGAACATTGAATGCTGTTTTAACGATTTAATTAGACATTAAATTGAGGACAAAATTTATAAATTCAGGAGAACTTATCAATTTGCAAAGTTTGCAAATATATTTAGCTAGGGAGCGAAATTATACTTTTTTAATTAGTAGAAGATTAGCAATAAATATGCTTAAAGAAATTTTAAAATTTTGAGAATTTTTTAATTCAAAATTTTGAGAAGATCCAATGCCGATTTTAACTATTTTGTTTGTCAGTTATACTTTCTTTAAACAACAGATTTTATCTCTCTTGCTAAATAAAAAAATGTAAGTGTTTCCCCAACTTGAAAACCACAACTTAAAACAAGAACAATTTGAAAAATATAAATTTTACAGATTCCTGTATATTTTCAATCTAAACAGTTATTTTGAAAAAGAATATAGACGCCTTTCGTATGATACACCTGCAGCTAAATCAGTATTATTTTAGTTATTACTAAATATTAAATTTGGCTTTTAAGTTAAGATTTTTAGACTTTCAAAAATTTTCGAGCCGTACTAACTTAACATCTGTGAAAAGAAGCATTTTATTTTGACAAAATTATCTCGATTAATATTTTGCGTATGGATGTATTTTCTTCTAAATATTAAATAAATTTGGTGACGAAAAGCATGTACTCGATTCCAAAATGAATCTTTTTAAAAATTGTGATTTCATATATACCATTTTTTACGTTGAACAATCATATGAGCAAATTTTGAAGTTTCAATATAAATTAAATAAATTCCAAAATCGTCAACTTTTGCAGCAATTTTTAAATCGTTTTTTATATGTTTACTAATTTCACAAAGTTTAGGTACATGTACTCAATTCACGTACTCAATTCATGCAGATCATGATATAAATAAAATCCAATTTTTACAAATATCTGAATTTACTTGACGTTTATTATTCTAAATACATATGTATCATTTGCATAATTTGTATATTACAGATGATTTTGTATTATGAAACTACATTTAAAATTAATTAAACCTCTTCTTATACTTAATTCATCCTAAAATAACAAATCTCGACTACTTAAACGCTAGAAACTAAACTAAAAATTATAACTTATAGTAAAAAAAATCTGTAAAAAAATAATTCAACTTGATTTTCACACTTGTAAAATATTGAGATAATTCACTCCCACGTTTGTAACACGTGTATAAATAGTAAACTGTGTAAACTTTGTAAAAATTGGGGCAAAAACTTGTACAAAATATGTAAAGACACGCCAACGACTTGGCACCCTTTATAACCGTAATTTTTACAAAAAAAGTGTTTGCAAATATTGCGAAGTTTACTGGAATCCGCATGAATTATTAACCTAATTTTGTACCAAACTAATCAAAAAAGTGTATAAAAGAATCATTTTTTTCGATAAAAATCAACTCTCCAAAAACTTCAATTCATTCCATTTCATTTCAACTTCGTAAAAATTTTCCAAGAAATTTAAATAATTCGATTTCACTCAATTAGATTTTACCCCACAAAATTTCGAAATCTAATTAAACCTGGAAAAATTTGCATCCTTAATTTCTCTCTGTTTGTCTTATTCATTATAAAATTACCATGCATAATTAATTTACAGTTTATATTACGCGACTAGAATGGACCCTGTTTTCCCTAATTTACAAAAAAAATATAAGTTTCTTAAAGTTCCCGTAATTTTATGTAGCTTGTGAAACTGTGATGGCTGGATTTCTCTCTACCGCAAGGTGGTCACTATCTCGACGACTTTGTGACCCTTCTTCCGGCGTGGCTGGAATTGTGGTGGCGGATCTGCTAAAGGTTTCGAGCTCTCGTGGGGGCGAATTTTCCGTGTCGACGATGACGAGATTGTCCACGCCGAAGAGACCGTTGCGGATTTTATCTTTTCGTGTAAAGATGAAAAACGAGACGGACCTAGGGATTAAAAAAACGTGTAAATTTCTTAAATAGTTGTGGAAGGGAAGTATTATTAATCGTAAATTAATTAAGTGTAAATTGAGACAATTTTCTAAGAAAAAATATTTTTTACAAAAATTGCATAAACCCAGTAAATTAATGACGCAATTCACGCAGATCTTGGTAACTTTGTAAAATCCGTAGATTCTAAGAACTCCCAAATTTTTATAAAGTTTTGCATATATTTCAAAGGATAATTAGCTTTCAAACTTGTCAAGAAAAATAATTTTACAAAAAATGCATAGACCAAGTAAATTACAGATAGTGACGCAATCCATGCAATTCTTCGTAACTTTGCAAAATCCGTAAATTCAGAAAACTTTTACAAAATTTTACATATATTTCAATTATGAAAATTAGCTTTCAAATTTCAAAAAAAATACAAAAAAAAAATTACATAGGCTTTGCTTTGACTGACTGCGAGTAAATTAGGAACTTTTAAGGAATTACAATTTTGCTAGAGTAAAATGTCGGATCAATATGTTTTGTAAAATTTAGCAAACCTAGTTTCCCCAAATAGATAAACTGTCAGTTCCTTTACAAAAGTACGCATAAAGTGGCATAAATACATAAACTGCTAATCAAATTAAATTAGTTGGTAATTCTTTCAACTTGTGAATTAGAAGTTGCATAAAAATTATGGCGTAATCTTTTACAAAATATGAACTTAAGGTGACATTTTTTTTAATTTGTAGAGAATTGCGCCGATTATTAATATTTTGTAAATTTTGGTAATAATTTGTGGCAAACAGATACATGGCAGGTAAAACTAATAAGGTAGCAAAAGGTAAAACCTGGATTTTCTGAGTATTTTTAGTAAGCACCATAGCTTAAACTCCGTTTCAAGCTGTCTGAGTTCACCGCCTTGAGGACATTAGATTACATCATTAGATTACATTGTTAGATTACATTAGATTACATTAGATTACATCTAATGTCCTCAAGGCGGTGAACTCAGACAGCTTGAAACGGAGTTTAAAAAAATAAGGGGGTATTAAACAAAACATGGCTTTTCTTGAATACACTCTGAAGAAACTGGAATTAAATATTAAATCATTACTGACCAGAGTATATGACTATCGGCACCGGTAATAACGGAAATATCGTTCAGTAATGTTGTGGTAAAGAAAAATTAACCACGCAGAAATAAACCACTACCAATCGGGTAGAAATTATTACCAAATCAATACATTCTTAGCAAACTGGTATTAAATCATTACTGACTAGAGGGCATATATGACTACCGGCACTGGTAATAATATGAATTACCGTTTACTAATCTTGTAATGAAAAATTTACCACTCAGAAACAAACTACTACCAATCCGGTAAGAAGTTATTACCAAATCAATACCAGTACGGAGTATATATGCGACTCTACCAGATTTTTAACAATTCACCCACCCTAAAAAGACGGACAGCCATGAGATAAAGATGAGATATCCGAACGTTTCTGGTGCAGGGAGGAGGATGACTAGGACGAATTTTATTAAATCCATCCCTTTGTTGAAAGAATCTTGTACCCCGTTAATCACGCCACGCTGCGACTCCTCAACTTCCTCCTGAAATATTTGCGTCACGCTCAAATCCGCCACCCAGAGACCTTAAAGAATCAAAAAAGAAAAAAAATAGTTGTAATGTCACCTTTAATAAAATAAGAAGAAAAAATCTTGAAATGAAATTGGACCAAAATTTATTTAGACTACAGTTAAATTAATTTTTAGGGAGAAAATTAACCAAGTTTCTTTCTATAATCTTTAAATTGCTTAGTTAAAACGTATGTAAAATTTGAAGAGTTTTCAATTTCAATGACTGTGTGAATTGCGTCACAAGTATCTTTAGCGAATTAAATAAAATGTTTGCAGAGTAAAATGCCGAATCAGCATGTTTTGTAAAATTTGGCAAACATATTTCCTCAAGTAGATACGTGACCGCGTCACCAATTCGTATCAATGTTTGAAATAGCATCATTTGATAGCAAACTACTAGTTGAATTCTTAATCAATCGCTATTTAAATAAAATTAACACATATCTGCAGTTTTGTGATGAATTTCGGTAAAAATTAATATTCAGTATAATTTTCCTAACATTCCAGCTCAGAATTTTTTGCTAATTTAGAATTCTCGCCTAATTTTTCATAAATTTCAGTATTCATAGTTTTTAGTACGAGAAGTTAACCAAATTTAGAAGTTGTTAATTAATGTAAAAAAGATTAATAAAGATTTAAGATTAATTAATTTTATATAAACACGCCAGAAATTGAAATTTACTGCAAAATATTTTCGCAACTCTTGCTCATCACACTTTTTTGACGTTAATCCACTCACCAAATCGTGCCACGATAATTCCGCCCAGCAGAATTACAATGTGCACCTCCTTCTCCCAAATTTCCTTAATAGAATACGTCATCCTTGTAAAATAAGAGGACGATGGGGCTCCAGAAAAGTGCTGAAATCTGTCCACAATAGCTTCCGGTTTGAACGGTGATCCCAAAGCGAACACAGATCCGACACAAAGCAGGAGGGCTAACGTTTCCAGAATAAAACCCAAAATTCCAGTGCTATTTTTCCCAAGATGTTTCCTTAAATGGGGGAACGAGAGGGAGCCCAAGATTCCAAAAATGGCTCCGATCGCGGTCAGAATTCCGATAAAGCTTTCGTCAACGCCTTGACTGTACATGAAACCTGTGTTTAGAAATCAAATTGGTATAAAAAATTGGCAACAATTTGAAAATAAAATAGAATTTTATACAGAAACTTTATAAACAAAAAGTAACAACACTTTGGATCAAAATTTAATCAAAATTAAAAATTTGTATTGTACTGTCAAACTATTTAAATTGTTATACAGAAATCGACAATCAATTAAAGTTAGCAAATTTTGATACAAAAATCATAGACATCCAACAAATTAGGTAAAAAACAAAAAATTGACTGACAAAAATCCCACCAATTCTAAAAATGGGTATCGAATTTTCCAATAATTCAAAATTTGAACCCACATCGATTTAAAACCTGACCAAAATTTCACCAACTAAAATCAAATAATTTTCTGTGTCTTATTCCAAAAAATTCCACAAATCCCCCCAAAAAAGTCACACCCACCCACCCGTCGTAATGCTATCGAATCCTAACACCGTCATGTACAGGCAGGCCAACCCCAATCCGGCAAATTTTACATGATGTCCAAAATAGTTCCTCCATCCGACATGACACGGCAAACAGGGCGTCGCTCCTCCTCCGCCTCCTTTTTTCTTGCCACTCGCAACATCGCCTCCGTCCAAGTTAAATGTTCCCAATGTCGTCGGTGTCACGAGGGAAACGTCTTCAAAACCCGCCATTCCGGGCGAAACGTTCAACCGATTTGACGAAACTCCGAGGTGTTGAACGTTATTATTGCTTGGCGAAACGACTTCCGGTGAGGATGTCATCTTGACGAAGGGCACGTTGGGCGGGGATGATGGGGAGGCTAGCACCGATCCGTCCTTGGTGCCAAGTTCGGGCACGATTTTGTAAATGTGGAGGAGGAGGGAGTACTCAATCACGGCGGAGACGATGTTCCACGCGGCGATAAATATGGCACCGGCTTCGGGCGAACCGTAAGTGATGATTTGTCCAACAACGATGGGAGCGAGGATGGACGTGGTCAAGTTGATGGTACGCATTGTAGAGTTGAGCTCTGGAAAAAAAAGGAAGCAAAATGATGAAATTTCGTGTTATAAAATTTAAGAAATTATAAAAAAACTGGGGTAAAAAATTGTACCACTGTGTTAAATTTATAGATAAAAAACCTGTTAAAAAAGTGTCGAAACTTTTAAATTTTGTTGAAAAGTCATTTTTCGACACAAAATGTTAGTCAAAAAATAAGAGGGGTAAAAACTGCACAAATAAAGAATGGTGGACATCCGTCACAAAATGTGTAAATATTTAAAAACCCGTCCTAAAAAATATCAGAATTTTCATATTTGGCTGAAAATGGTTAATTTCTCGTCACAAATTTGCGAAATTAATAAAAAATCCGTCCCAAAAAGTTTCAAAATTTCAACACTTAGTTCAAAATGGAAAATTTTTCGTCACAAAAATCGTCATCGTCACTCACTCGCCAACTGTTTATTGTCGCCCCCCGCGAGAACGACGATCCAGTCCTTTTCCAGCGCAATTTTATTTGCTACTGAGGCCAGCTCAGCGACGATGGCGATGGTGATGATGACGGCGAAAAGGATGTGTTCCAAGTGACCGTTCCACACGCCTTGGATCCTCGACCGGTAGAAGAGCGTTATTGTGAGGATGGTCGACCCCAACACGACGGCACTATTCTGCACTACCACTGAGGCTCGGGCAGCTGCCGGAAACAACAAAAACACCAATAAAGAAAAGTTCAAAATCTTAATTTTTCAAACATCAATCTGACAATCTGAAGAGAAATTCAGACAAAACAAACTTGAATTTCCACAGGTTTAAACATTTCCAAAAAACTGACCCCGTAGCCAAAAATTTGGCCACGTGGCAAGAGAAACATGTAAATATCCCACCAAAGAATCTAATAAACTTGTCCCCTGATCCAAAAATTGACAAATTCTCCTTTTTCCAAAATTTTCCACAAAATCTAGCTCCTTATCCGATCTCTTGCTCACCCGTAATGCGCTGCGTCTTATCGATCCATCCGCCAATATAAGGTCCCAAAATTATGCCGGATAAGCAATTGCAGAAGCCATAGATTGCTGTGAGCTATTAAAACCAAAATCAAAATTAGCCAAAAATTCAAATTTGCATACAAAATTAATTTACATACGAAACTAATTTGCAATTTTGCATACTAAATAATCACTACTTTCATTACCAGTAGCGAATCCGGAAACAGGATGACCATATACAACCCGACCGCAAAACCCCACATCCGGTCGCCCCACGACGAGAAAATGTGACACATGTAGATCTTCATGGACGAAGAGGTCCACCAACGCTGTCCTGCTCCTCCTCCCCCCGGCAGTCGTACCCCCTCCACCGTCACGACCGATGTCGGCGACGACGCCAAGATTCCCTGACCTTCTCCCGACATGGTGACAACGGTTCGATACGATTCAACCGCCGAAACTGTGTCGTTGTTCTTATTCTAGCGCAAAATTTCGATTTCAAATTTGTAAATATGAAATCTGTTGAGTAATAACAAACAACTTTTTGCAGGTAAAATTCTCCTTGGTTTCAAAAATTCAGATAAAAAGTGATTATCCAAATCGATTTCAAAAACTTTGAACGAATTACAGATCAAACTCTGGACATTTTCAAAATCAAAATTTGAACATTTACATAATTCTGATAAAAAGTAATGCAATAAAATAATCACTTTAAAAAATTTTGGGAACTTAAATCAAACTCTGGAACTTTTTAAAATAAAACTGAAAATCTTAAAAACAGAACTATTTAAAATAAAACTCTTGAACTTTTCAGAATACGAGAGGAATAAAAACTGGACTAAAATAAAATAAGGTTCGAGTAGCAAGAGGAGGATTTAATGAGTGATTAAATCAAGGTTTTAAGGTTAATTGAGCCTATTTAAGTCCAGTCCAGTCCAGCCAGTTATGTAAATATGTATAGAGTTACACCTGAGAATTTCTCTGTGCAAGTCACACACGAGACCAAAAATAACCTGTTGCTAACAATTATGTAAAACTGGCAGATAAGCATCAATCAAAACATTGCGAAACGGTTCCTCTTATCGGAATCATTTACGCTGTACGTGATCATCGTTGTCCACCTAACAATTAATCCATTGTTATCTTGCAGATATTTCAAAACTAAGAATTATGTATGACGACACGTACAACGCTTATCTTTCCTTATCATGCTGAACAATAACAATGTTCAATGTTCAAGAATAAAAATAATTAAAATTTGCACATGTCCTGACCCTGGCGTGGTTTTAATATTTAAATTATTCGACATGGCGTAATTGCGAATTTTTTTCATGTATAATTTGCCTACATATTTTTGAGTGCTCAAAAGTTACTCGAAATTTAAAATGTTGAAATCCAATTGTAAAAAAGATGGGATATTATTTTCATTAAATTATTTATTGTCCTCATCCTCAAAATTAATGTAATAATTAATTCATTAACTCATTTCTTTCAATTATAGCTTCTAAAGACTCTAAATATTCATACGTAATTGGACTGAAGTAAAATTGTAACAAAAAACCGGAAATGCTGACTTTAAAAATATTTGACACCGGGATCTAATTAATTACTTTTTCCGTCTTCCCCTCTCTTCTACAAAAGATAAGTACAAAGTTACTTACATAAGTTTAGGATAAGACACGAAATAAGAATTGAAATAAGTGTTTTCTTCTTTGGCGACACAAAAAAAACATGAGCAATACTCTGATAAGCATCTTATCTTAATAAATTCTCATCATCTCATCCCACGGAATCCTTCCTCGCTCGATTCGCCATAACCCAGAAGAACACTTCTGGACAAAGATTCCTTAAAAATATGGCAATTCGTGGCATCAAGGAACAAATTACGACGTCCGTTTCGCCCCCCAAAATGGCTCGGAGGGTTCTCGCCGCGACGTAATCGGGTGAGTGGCCAGACGCCGTGGCGGCATCCATCCGTCCGTAGTTGTGACCCGTGCCGGTCACGGCGTTCATAGAAAGGTGTGTTTTTACGTAACCGGGCGAAATCACGGTCACTTTGATGCCCAGGTCGGTCAGTTCGGCACGCAGGGAATCCGCGAGTGCTTGCAGGGCGTGTTTCGACGCGGTGTAGGACGATCTGTCATCGGAGAGGAGAGAGAAACTGGATGTTAATTAGTGCAAAAAATTAGTGTTATGTGCAAAAAAAATAAAAGTGCAAAATTATTTAAATGGGTGGATGAATAACCTGTATGGGATTGCGATTTTCCCTTGGACACTCGAGATAAAGACGACACGGCCACATTGGCGTTCAACCATGGAGTGGGCGAGATCTGAAAAAAGTACAAGTATTACAACTTTCGAAATATCCTAAATTGAAATGAGCAAAACATTCGCACACATTTGCAATTTGTTCAATTCAAAATCTGTGCAGTAACTCAATTAATTTAAATTTAATTAATTAATTGAAACGCTCGGATGTAAAACAGCCTTCGCGACAATTTAAAAAAAATTCAACCTAGTTACATTTAAATACCGTTTTGTAAAAATAATTAAAAATCATTTAATTTCAATTTTAGCCCGAGTCAGGCTTATTTTGAAAAATCAGTATGAATCACTCTGGTTGCACTTTGCTCACTTTTAACTTCATATTCTTTAATGAGAAGCCATTAAGTATCATTGTGCCGGATTTCATCTTTTTAAATAATTTCTAAAAATCGGTATGGATCACCCCATCGGGTCGCTCCAGATAAAAATTTTGACCCCCACTGGTCAACCACTTGACCGATTTCGCCCATATTCGAATTCGTTTCCTAACTTTGCCCATTATGCATATGGTAAAAATTTCAAGTCAATCGGTTCAGCCGTTTTGGCTCTATCGTGCCGGACAGACAGACAGACAGACGGACGGACGGACGGACATGACGGTTCCATAAGCCTAGACTCGGGCTACAAATTTTTCAAAAACGGTATTTAAATGTAACTAGGTTGAATTTTGCAAAAAATTGTCGCGAAGGCTGTTTTACATCCGAGAGTTTCAATTGATCAACATCGTGTTCTAAATTTTTGTATAAATAGCGAAATTTCAACTCATAAAGTAATTTTGTACGACCAAAGCAAAGTTTCTGATAAAACATCATAATTTTTGCCTTCATTTTAACAAGAAAAATTCTCTTTTTCCAAATTCCAATTTGTAAATAAACGGTTTCAACAAGAAAATGCTAATTTTTTTGCCAATGTATAAAAAATAACAAGTTCTGGCTCAAAATTTTACTAAAATGGAACAAAACTACTCACTCTTTGTGAGGGCGAGAGGTCCGAAATAGTTGACCATCATGACTCGCTGGTCAACGTCGATATTCGTCTCCAAAATGGTGCCGCGATAACTCATCCCTGCATTGTTGATGAGGATGTCGACGAATCCGTAGATTTCCAGGATTTCCAGTGATTTCGCCTCCATCGATTTCAAATCACCGAGATCCAACTGCACGACGGCAGGCATGTAAACAGTCCCGTACTGCTGAAGCAAAACAATTAACCGATTAATTTAATTAATAATTAACTACAATTTCTAAAAAAAATGGTATCCAATAAAATCTATCACAATTTTGCCAGAATAATTGCAATTAATAATAAAACCAGCTAACGAAGTAACTTTAAATAAAACAATTAACATCCTTAAACTTTGAAACAAACTAATAATTAACCCGTCGTGACCTTTATTGGCCTTTATTGACCCAAAAAATCGTACCGTCTTGCTCCTCACTAATTCCGCCTTGACACGTTCCAACTCTTCCACTCGTCTCGCCGCGAGGATAAGTCTGCATCCATTCGCATACATCACTTTCGCCAAACTTTCTCCGATCCCACTGCTCGCTCCCGTGATGACGACGACCTGACAGTGATAAGAACAACCTTATCATAAAACCAACATCAAGCATAAGTTATGCTGTATAACAAATCTACAAGGCTTATCCATACCTTCCCCTCCAAACGGCGCATCTTGAGACCATACCGCTTTCGAAATGCGATAATGAACTTGTACATGAGATAAGGCAAGGCGACCGGGAGGAAGAAAAGGGCGAGGATATTCTTCATCGAGGAGTGTTGAATCAGCTGCGAGATCAGGGAGGACGAACCTCCTCCCGGCGACGTCGATGATAAGCTCCCTCCTCCTCCCGTAAATCTGTTATTATTCGGAGCAGCCACTAGGAAAAAACGGGAATAAAATACGTCAAGCGACGACATGACAAGTGACTTATCGATGCAAAAAGTGAAATGAAAATGAAACCCAATTAAACTCACTCTTCTTCTCAAAATGTAAACAAGATCTGTCTGACTCAGATATAATCACGCCACACACATAAAAGAAAGGATCTTATCCACACTTTCGCCTTATCACGATACACTATCTATAATTAAATGTTGAGTAGTTAACTTTAACTGCAGTTGAGTCTTCTTCACATTATTATTTAACTTGTTTATACTCTTCCTTCAGTCAAGGACATTATTGGACTGACTTCTTCATCACGGGTTTACAGAATGGCACGAAAAAACTGCAGCAGCAGCAGCTCAATCATAACAACATTTATTTATGTAACTTTTGTTATGAAATATGGAATAATAAACAAACAAAAGTATGAAATTATGATGCTTATTTATGATTATTTATAGTAATTTGCGGCGCAATAGTAAATTAATTGTTCAATTACCACATTTACCACCATTATTATGTGCGAAACGTGAGACTTTTTTGGTGGGATTGAACTCACGACCAAAATTGTATTCGAGTTTTGCTTTTGCTTCCTTTGTTTGGCCGTTTGAGTGTAAAGGAAGTTGGGAAAGTCGTTGGAGTTTGTTGATGTGATCCCATGTGCACGAGATTATCTAATTGTTAGTTAACTTAAGATAATTAATTATTTTGATGATACAATTAATTAGAGCTTGTTACATGGGATCACATCGGCAATTCTGCGAGATCTTGGTTATTTGTTAAGATTTTAGTGAATAAAAGCAGTTTACCGTTTTTGCTGAAATTTGTAAATTTGTTGTAGTTATGTGGAACATAAAAATACCTAGTTTAATTAATTAGTTACGTGAATTTGACCACATTGGATGCTATTCGGCCCGTTTAATTGGGACTTTTGGTGAATTTTCGGGTATTGTTTTGTTTTGCAAATTTTATTTTAAATTCAATGCTCTGCCTTTCGTATAAAATATTGAACTGACAAAATTTATATATTTCTAATCAATTGTGTAATTGTGTACATATTTCTCGACTACAATAGCTGCGTAATATTTCTTATAAGTCTTAAGATGATACAACTATATCATTATTATATCATCTCAGGAATGCAGGATCAGCTACAAATTACATTGCAAATTATAATACAAACATGATAATACAAAATAATTTGAGCTTTATTTAAGCTAAACCTAAATTTTTTTCATTCCAGATTTTCTCAAGTATTTCTCAAATATTCTTGAGTTATGTCGTCCAGAAAGGAATCGAAATTCTGCGACGACTACGATGACGACGACTTTTACAACGCCAGGCATAATGCCTATGATCAAAAACGTCAACCCAACCATAACCCACGGCCAGCAGAAGGCCCTCCTGTTTGGACGAATCCGTTCCTTTCAACAACTGAAAATCTGTCACGATTCATCAAATTGGAACCAGAGGAAGCTACGACGTCGGCATCGATTATACCAAGATTTATTAAGCAGGAGAAGAATACCGACACTGTGACCACTACAACCGTCGTAAAAAAGGAGTCGAGTCGGATTGCTGACGTCAATGTGGACATTTTTCCCGAAGGAATCAACAATCTCTGCGGACCAAAGAAGGCCAAAAACAAGATCAAAGTGGAGAAAACGGTCGTCGCCGAGACGAGCAGAACTTTTGCCGTAAAAATTGAGAGGACACCAGTGCCACCAGTTCTGCAGTCAAAAAGCGTAAGTTTACAAATGCTACTCTGAAAATTACAAAATTCTGTGGAGTCAAAATACGATATCTGTTCAAAATTTATAATTTCAAATTCCTTAATTCCTCAAAATCAAAATAGAATTATCACCGAATTTTCAACCAATCTAATAATCTTTTTCACTTTTGACTTTCAGCTCCACCGCAGTTACAGTAATCAACCAGACGTCAAAATTAATCCTGTAAACAATCCTTTCAAAATTTGCAATTTCCTAAATTCCACAAAATCGAAATTTCAATCCGACGTCAAAATTAACACTGTAATCAATCTTTTCAGAATTTATAATTTCAAATTCCTCAAAATTGACAATGAATTTTGCACCAATCTAAAGAAAATATTGGTTGTTTTTTTCACTTCTAGTCCAACCCCCGCCCCAACAATTACAGCGGTCAATCTGACGCCAAATCTAACAGTGCCACCTCCAGTATCAAATCTGATCCTGCTCGTCCGGTTCCCTTCAGGTCAACCAAACTCACTGACCCAAACCCACTGCCTCAAAGGATTCAGAACAAGGTGGCACGCCGCTTGTCAAATCCGCAAAATATGACGGATTCTGAGAGAGAGTCGCGACGTCGTCAACGGTACAAGCGCGACAACACGCTCGGGTATGAGGGCCGGAGTCACCATCGGCACGCACATCAGGCCGAACGACAGAAAGAGTATGAACGTTATATGAACGGCGGTCAAAAAGACGACGACGACTCCGATGATTACTACAACAGAGATTAAATTTAAAACACCTCAATTGTGAGAAAAAGTCCATGTCTTTGTCTAATTTACTTAATTTAATTTGTTCGTAAGACAATTACTAATTATTTTGTGCACTCATTTCCAGATTTCTCGGTGTCTGCCGTAAAGTTGAAACTCAATTTGTAAGACACTTTGACTAATTTATTTTAATTTTCTGTTATTAAACGCATTGACATATTTAACCAATGTACTATATAATTTCCAGATTTTTGCTCAAAATTCGAACTTTCGATCGAGTTCTGACTCCAATCTTCAAGTAATGCAATACTTAATTTAATGATTTTCATAACAATTTGTATTTAACGTTTTTGTAAGTCCAGGTTTTCATCCTGTCGCCATTTCTCAATTCTTGCCAGATGAATTGAACTGCGGTTATCTTGCTATTTCTCTCACTGTCTCTGCCGAACACTTTCATCGGTCATCGATTTAATTACGCCACTACATAGTGTTCTTTTAATTAAGTTAGATTTTCAAAAAATATCCACCTGAAAACTAGAAAATATTGCCAAAAATATTTATCTTCAGATTTTCTAAAGTTCAATAGTGTATAAATAGTTTATTTAATTGTATTGGTGGTGGTGTTAGTATTAGTTTTACACTAATTAGTATGCAAATTAGTAGCAATTGTAGCAAAGTTTAAGAGCAATAATTTATACAACTTATTTATGTAGTTCTAGTAGAAGTAGAACATTAATATGTTTTATCTTGCCAAGCGTGTTCTTGTAAACTTTACAAATTTTACAAAACTAAAAACCCTGCCTTCAACAGTATCAAAATACTATTTATAATTCTAAATAACATCTTCACTAGTTGCCTTAATTATAATAATAATTATAATTATGTAATAATAGGAGCTCTCAAGGCTCAAAAAATGAGCGAAATGAGCAATGAGCAGAAAAATAAAAAATCCGATTTTTCTGCTCAAACCTTGAACGTACCACTTTTTTTATCGATCATAATTCTTGAGAATCGTGATTTTTATTTGTTGGAAGTTCAATCATTTGTTTATCATTTTCATGGTTCTAAATTCAGTTTCATAATTCACAAAATGTCGAAAATAACTGAACGTTAAGAGACATTTGAATTTTTATCATTTATTATTTATTTATTTTTATGTGGTCGTAATATGGATTTGAACAACAAGCCCATGATATTTTCAAGCTAATATTGCAGGAGAATTAAAACGAACAGAGCATTTATCTCAAATAATTCATTTTATGCAGCAGCAATAAACAACTATAAATCTCATATTTAGGACTTTCTTCGCAGTTAAGGGCCAAAGCATCTTGGAGACGACGAAGGGATTCAGTGCGTTTGGCCACCTGCTCAAACATTTTTTTGCGATTAAGGATATGGTCATTCGAAATTATATGTGGACAAAAAACTATCATTTACCTTAAAAGTGTAATTGTCGACGACATAGATGATGTGCTGTGTCAATTTTTATTTGTGGTTTCCAGCGAAAAGTTTTTCTGCCGTCTATTACCTCTACAACGCCACGTTTGTTACGACAAACGACGGGATTTGCAACTTTTTCGACACTGGTACCCTTAACCTTGGTCTTGGGACCAATAATGATAAGGAAAACATGTTTTAGAAAATTTTACTCAATTTTTAAACGAAAAATTTAAGTAAACAAACATCTGATGTGCTGGTGTGGTGATGGAGGAGCAGAATGAGCAGGATTATGAGAGCAAAAATCAACCTAAAACTCGATTTTTTTGTTGAGCAAGAAAATCTGATTTTGAGCGAAATCGCATGCGCACAGCCGAGCAGAAAAGATCAGAATGAGCGATGAGCAGAAAAATCTGATCTTTTTTAGAGCTTTGAGAGGACCTAATTACTTCAATTCACTTAAATCTTTATAACCTTGTAAACTTACTTTCCCGTTTCGAAAAATATGTATTACAAAGTCTAGAGATCAACGCTGTCTCTATATCTTTAAATATTTTGTCAAATCCTTTCACAAAATTGCTGATTTTGCGAGCCCGGCGAAGCCGGGTGAAGCAAAATCTAGATTTTGTGAGTCTTCCGAGTACGAAAGACATCACGGAGTATAGTTGGTAGTGGTCGACCTCCAGGTATCAGGGAGACACTACGCGCCGCCTAGTTCACAGAAATGCACTTAAAAAACAACTACCACACTCACATGCTCACACCACACCAGTCACAATGCATAGTTTTAAAGAGCGAATCGACTTTATGAATATTGTGGGGGTGGGATGGAGGGCCGTGATGTCTTTCGTACTCGGAAGACTCACAAAATCTAGATTTTGCTTCACCCGGCTTCGCCGGGCTCGCAAAATCAGCAATTTTGCTTCGTATTCCTCATACTCCGACATCACGGAGTATAGTTGGTAGTAGTTCAAAGCAAAGTCGATGAGCACAGGTCACGGATTATTTTACACGTTATTTATTATTATAAATTCATACTTTGCTTATTACATACACACCGTACAAGATTCTTAAATATTCAAATTGACATAACTATTTTACCAAATTCAGAGGGATCCTCAAATGGACGATTATAGTACAATGCAAATGATTTGGAGTTATCTGTCCAACCAACCCTTTTAAAAATAGTATCTACACTGACCCCTTTAGCTGCCGCTTTAGAAACGGAAGCGTGCCTAAAACTGTGAGCATGAAAGGTATGCACATTAATTCCAGATTTCTCCAAAACTTCACACAACCAGCGACTGACAGTCTGTGATGTCACAGCTTTATGAGGCTTACAAAAGCTTATAAATAATTGTAACTCATTACCTCGAAGACTTTTAGTCATATCCCTATACATTTTGAGAATAGTTACAGGACACAAACTTTTATCATGGTAGGGTGGTACAAATAATACTGGGTTAGATCTATTAACAATTGTTGTCTTTAAAATACTACTCAGTCTAATTTGAATTGTCTCCTCCCAAACAATGTCGTTTAACTTAATGGAACAAAGGGTCTGGACACGTTGACCAGTGCATAATGCTAACAAGGCAATAGATTTAAGAGTAACTATTTTAAGACTAAATTCTGTCCATCCCTTGAGAAATTTAAGTACAAGATCAGGGTTCCATGTAAAATCATACCTAGGTCTTGGTGGCCTCAATCGACTCACTCCTTTCATAAAATCGACGATCAATTTATGCTCACCAATTGCACAATTATCAATTTTTCCAAAAACAGACGACAGTGCTGATCTAGTAGAATTAAGAACAAAATAACTCAAGCCATCGTAATATAATTTACTTAAGAATATCAAATAATGACTAATATTAACTTCCCACACCGACCAATCCTTTGATTTACAAAACGAAGCCCATTTTGATAACGCCGACTCATATTGTCTCCAAGTTCCGTCTGATTTTGATGACTTCTTTTGATTATTTCTAAAACTTCCACAGGAAGATCCAAGTTTTTCATGACCTGCCTGACAATACTGCTACCAACACCGCTAGCTTCGAATTGACTTGTTTCTCCTCCCTGCAAGAAGGATTAAATAATAAATTCTTGTTCGGACCCATTCTTAAAATTGGTGTCACAGCAAAACGCTTAAATAGTGGGTACCACGGCTGAGTTTTCCAGTCAGGTACCACCAAAATCCCTTTGCATTTATCTCGACGTATTTTATTAATAACTCTTGCAACAAGATTAAACGGTGGAAATGCGTAAAAGTTGTCTGTCCACCTAAATGCAAATGCGTCTACCCCTTCACCCGAAGGATCAGGTTTAAATGAATAAAATCTGCTGCATTGAGTTGTATTATGAGATGCTAACAAGTCTATCTCTGGCATACCAAATGTCTCTGTTATTTTAATAAAATATTTTGAACTTAATTTAAACTCAGAGGAATCGTTTGACATTCTGGATAATTTATCGGCTATGAAATTATCTTTTGTATTAATGTAATTCGCAGACAAAATTATTTCCCTTGATTCGGCCCATTGCCAAAGCTTCTTCGCCACATCATGTGCACCCGTTGACCTACATCCTCCAAACTTGTTAACGTAGGCTAAAGCAGTGGAACTATCTGTACGAATAAGGACATGAATTTTCTCTGAATGAACCAATGACTTTACACCATAAAAAATCGCCCAGAGTTCCTTAACATTTACAAACTTCTCGGGACATGAAAGTCCCGAGAAGCTCCAGACCAAAATCCATAAGTCTTAATATCGCTTGCTTCAATCCATGCCCCCCATCCGGTGGGCGACGCATCTGTTGTTATAATACAGTCTGGATCTGGTTGGTGTAAGCAACTAAATGAACCTGGAATATTAGAGATCCACCAATTTAAGTCTAAAATTGCGTCTTCGGATAGAATGAGCGTTTCATTCCAATTTCCAGATTTCTCTAAGGCAGCAGCCTTTTCTTGCTCCAATTGTTTAGTGTACAGCAGCCCATATTTAGTAGCAGGGACTGCGGAGATTAATGTGCCAATTAATTCTGCTAATTTCCTAACGCTCATATGAGGTCTCAAAACTGCCTCAGAACACTTTCTAACGACTCTGTCGCACTTATCCTGTGGTAAATACAGCCGCATGTCTGCAGAATTATTACCAAATAGCCACTCAGCATGAGGGATCTAATTTTTCACAAATTTTGCATATTAAAAGTCACCAAATTATCATTAGCAATTATTAAATATGTAGCAAAACAATGATATTCGTACCTCGCTTGTACAGATACCCGCATATTCAGGATTTAAATGTTTTTTAACCTCTTGCCTCCGGCTTGAATTTAGGGACTGAATCTGATCTCCCAAAATGTTCCCTGCATCTAAGGCCAGTTTTACTATGCTGCTGGTCGCCTCCTTTGGGATGACCGTCTTATGTGCCACGACCGTGCTGGCAATCATTGATAACGCTGATAAGGCTTCTCCTAAGGCCCGCTGCGTTTGTTGGCTTTTAATGTCAACGACCCGAGCATTTGAGGGTAATATCTTCCAAATTTCGGAATTGGTTTTGGGTGGAACAAACTGCTTCAAGTTACTTGGTATTTTTAGAGCGAGTTTTAGTTTTTCTTTTGACTCCTTCGTCAAAGGACGTTCCACGGTTTTTCGAAAACTTTCAGCAATTTGGGGAAGTACTTCTGCACCATAATCTGGACCCTTTTCGATGTCCTCCAATAAGATGGCAATCTCATTATCCACCTCGTCATGCTGCTCTTTACCACCTCCGTTAATCATTTTCTCGACATCATCCTCTTCATCCTCAGATAACCCTAAGGACCATGACGGCTTGACTGCTTGATTCATATCTGCCGGTCCCCCAGCGACAGTTCTCTGCAAATTTTCAATTGTTTGCTGTTGCTCACTAAGTTTTGCTAATAGATCAGCCAAATTTGTCTCCTCTTTGTCAGCCATCTAAATAATTATTTTTCTATATTAGTTTCTAGCAAATGTGGGCCCCTCAGGGTACCACAGGCCCGTTTCCTAATCTAGGAGCGTGGGGCTGATATTTTAAACTCGTCACCTTATCAAGGTGTCTCAGAGTATATATTTGAATCTTTATTTTATATAAATTTTCCTTGGCCATGCTAAATAAAAATAAAAAACTCCATCCCGAGCTCCCCAGTCGATTATAAAAGAGTGGGCTTACCTCATTAGTTGACGACATGTCCCAGAATATCGAATAACAGCAACTTTTAGAAATTTTTAAAAAAATTTCAAGCCGACGAAAAATGATGTGTCTCCCCGAATGCCTAAAAATCAACTATGCATTGTGACTGGTGTGGTGTGAGCATGTGAGTGTGGTAGTTGTTTTTTAAGTGCATTTCTGTGAACTAGGCGGCGCGTAGTGTCTCCCTGATACCTGGAGGTCGACCACTACCAACTATACTCCGTGATGTAGGAGTATGAGGAATACGAAGCAAAATTTATACAGTTGACAGTTACAAACATCCGAGTGAATTGTATGTAAGTCTAATAATCTCTTGAAACTGGCATTTTGCAATTCAATAATCTCACTAGTCTTTGAAAACTATCAAAATTTAGAAAATATATTTTTTGCAACTTACTACAGATTCGTAGTAATTCGTGAGCTTTCAATTCAATAAATAAATGAATGTATGATTACAAAAATAACTAAATTAGTAATTAGTTAACCTAAAGAGTTTATAAATTGTTACACATATTTTTCAAAATTTCAAATAAAAATTTACACCCTTAACTTAATTATTCGCAGTACTTCAATTTAATTCTGGTTTAACTGCACAATCAATCAAGTCATCGTCAAATCATACTTAACGCTTAGCTTGTTCAAAATGGTAAATGAAACATGTCAAATTCCGTAGAAAATTCGAAATTACGAAAAGAAACTTCGAAATCGAAATTCATTTAGTTTTAAATAGATTTAATAAAGTTTATTTTTAAGTAAGAAGTGAACGCCAATCATATTTTTTTTTACATATAATTTTGTTTACTTTATTATTAAGATTTTGACTTCCAGGATTCGTATTTAGGTTTCTTCATTTTTTTCTTATCAAAAATTCAATCTTTTTATTTCAACAAGTGTCCAAATTTATACTGTCTTACCAAAAAAATGAGATAATTTTGTTTCTCTTTCACCAATTCCATAATCTCATCCATCCAAAAAGTTCCAAAATCTGGCAAAGTTTAGCATGCACGCATAATTTGCGAATTTTGACGTGAATCTACCCTGCAATTTTTCTCTCTTACACATTTTGCATGACTTAATACCACTACAAATTCGTAATGTGTTGATCAGAGTAGCAATGTCAATCATCACACAAAATTTGCTGTTTTATTGACCAATGCAATAATCTCATCAATCTAAAAAGTGCAAAAATCTGGCAAAGTTTAGCATACATACTTAATTTACAAATAATTTTGACGTGAATCCGCCCAATCACGAAATACAAAGCCTTTCTTACTTCTACATAAATACTTTATACGATTTAATACCACCACAAACTCACACCCAATCTTTTAATCACGGTCATAATAATCATCTCACTACACACACAAAACTTCACAGTCATGGCCATGGCCAAACAAGAATTAGAAGAAGAACAAAGCCTTCACAAAACATTTGAACAACACGCACAAATTTTTTCTATTTTGGAGTCCAGTTTAGTCAAGCTTCAATAAATATAAAACTGAATTTAAGGACCGTTAGTGAAGCATGTGATTAAATTTTTTTCAGAAAATTTTGAAATAATAATAATTTTCCATAATTTTAAATGATGGTCCATGCTAAAATTTTACGTGGTGATTACCACGTGAAATTGATGCTATCCTTTCTGCACGGTCATCTCGCAGCACGTTCTTCTTAATCTGGCGTGGTATCAACAAATCCAAGGCTGCAGAATAATAATTCGCAACAATTCATATCATGTTATGTATTCCAGGTATTAAATGGGACTGGATTTTGATACGTTATGCTGAGTGATTTTATAATTTCCTTGATATATTTTTAATTTTGCAATTTTCATAGTTCGCAAATTGTGTAACAATTTATGTAAATTATATTAATGTCAAATTAAGTATTGTAATTTATCTAACATACTTATAAAACCCTTCTTACCACGAAATGGTGAATGTTATCTGCAAAATTTATGTGCTCGACAATCTCCATAAAAATTGCGAACGGCGTAAAACTTGTAAACTTGACAAATTTTGTATGTACTTGTAATTTTCGTCATTTTACAAATTGTTAGACAATTTGCGAAATTTAAAAATTGTCTCACAATTTGTAAATTCGCAAATCATCGTAAAATTATCGTACATAAAACTCTTCTTATCCGCACCCAAACAACTTATCTGTAAACGTTACGTGGCTCGAACGATCGCCTTGAAAATTGCGAACGGCGTAAAACTAATAAGAACATTTCAAATTAAGTTGAAATTATATAGAAATTTCATACTTTGTAATTTTACAAAGTTACATATGTTCCTCCAAGTATGAAATAGTTCTGTATTTTACCAGCTTCATTAATACATATTAGTTTTGCAATTTTCATAATTCGCAAATTGTCTCATAGTTTGCAAACCTTTAAATTATCGTACATATAAAACATTTTTCTAATTATGTCATGAAAAAGTAATCTGTAAACTTAATGTCACTGGACGATCTCCGTGAAATTTGCGAACGACGCATAATCTATTCAATCTATATAAATTTGACAAATTGTGTACGTAAAATGAATGAATTTTGAACTTGCACATTTCAAATTAAATTAAATCTCAGAACTTTCAAATTTTGTGACTTTACAAAGTTACACATTACACAAAGTTACACATGATGTTATTCCAGGTATGAACTAGTTCTGCTAATTTTGATACGATATTCTCGATATTGTTCTGTAATTTTCAAAATTCGCAAATTGTTGCACAATTTGCAAATCTTCTTACATATAAAAGACTTCTTATCCACATCCAAATGACTTATCTGTAAACGTTGCATGTGGATCGAACGACCTCCTTGAAAATTTCGAACGGCGTATAATTTATACGCTCCTTTAAAATTTAATTTAATTAATTTTATAGAACCTTCAAATTTTGTAATTTGATAAACTTTACAAAGTTACATCTAAACATTCCACGTTTGAAATTGTTCTGCTTCGTAAACTTTATCTGTAAACTTTATGAAGCTAAACAATTTCCCTGAAAATTGCGAACGGCGTCTAATTTACACAATGAACGTAAACCTGACAAATTTTATATAAAACACTTGCACATTACAAATTAAATTAAATTAAATAAAACTTTCAAATTTTGTAACTTTACAAAGTTAGGAATGTTAGAAATAGTTCTGGATTTTGATACGCTATTTTCGCTAATATAGCTTTACAATTTCCATATTTCGCAGCTTATATATTTTACAATTGTAAATTACTTATCTTACAAATCACATTTATTTGTAACAGTATATGATCTCATCTGTAAACTGTATCTCGATGTATGATTTTCCTGAATATTGCAAATGGAGTATAATTTACACAATCTGTGTAAACTTTACAAATTGTATAATGAATTTTAAACATGCACATATATTTCGAATTAACTTGAATCATAGAAATTTAAAACTTCGTAACTTGACAAAATTTTCATATGTATTACTCCGGGTATGAAATGGTTCCAGATTTTGATCCGATATTCTCAATCATATCTGTCCACTTTCATTTTTTTTAGTGATTATGATGGTGAATGAAAATGAATTTCCTATGATTTGAATGAAAATCACTGAAAGATTCCGTCATTTCAGATGAATGACTGTGAATGAAAGGATTTCTCACTCCTTTCATTTTTCACCTTATGGTTAATTCATGGTGCGACGTAAGAAATGAAGGCTGTTGAGGTGAAATGAAATGAGTTTGAAGGAAAATGACTGAGGATGAGTGTGAATGAAAATCTTTAGTCAGGAATCGGGATGACTGAACTTTGAATGAAAACACAATTTTTGAACAGCTATGTTCTCAATATAATTTTGTAAGTTTCATATTTCACAGCTTGTTTCACGGATCAATCTAAGATTGACAAACTAAATCTACAAAACTTTGTCGCTTTACGATCTCCATGAAAATTGTAAATGGCGCATGATTTATACAACTTACGTAAGCTTTAAAAATGGTGTACGAATAATGAATTTATAGTAGAACTTGCACATTTCAAATTAAATTGAATCGTAAAACTTTCAATTTTTTTAACGGAACAAATTTTATACTGTCTGTTTATTCCACGTTTGAAATGGTTCTGGATTTTGAAACGATGTTCTCGATAATATGTTTTGCAATTTGCATATTTCGCAAATTGCCTCAATTAGTAAATTATTTATAGTAGATACAAAACACACTTAATTCTGCTGATTAATCTAATCTATAAAACTTTATGGAGCTTTAAGTTCTTCTTGAAAATTCCAAACGGGGCATAATTTAGATAATCTATGTAGTAAACTTGTCAAATTGGGTATGAATTTTTACAATTTGGAACTTGTCATTTCAAATTAAATTGAATTTCATTGAACTTTAAAACTTTCTAACTAAATAAACTTTACAAGGTTACATATTTAATTTTGCAATTTTCATAATTCGCAAATTGTGTATCTTTAAATTATCCTACATATAAAACACTCCTTATATTCCACAAAAAGATCATCTGTAATAATATTCTGCCTCGATGATTTGCGTGAAATTTGCGAACGGCGCATAATTAATCGGTTTACGTAAACTTGGCAAATTTTGCATGTATAATGAATTTTGAACTTGCACATTTAAATTTCATAGAGCTTTAAAACTTTGTACCTTAACAAATGTTAATCCAAGTTTGAAATGGTTCACTCTAAATAAATTTTATTAAAATTTACTCAATTTTGAGTAAAATTTACCCTGAGAAAGGTAAAATTTACTCAAGGTTGAAAGATTTTTGCTCAACCTTGAGTAAATTTTACTTTTGTCAGGGTAAATTTTACTCAATAGTTGCTTTGGTGGCAATTTTACTCAACTTTATTTTCATTAAATTTAATTTTAATTTGATGCAACTTTAAAATTTTGTAACTTAACAAAGTTACATATATTAATCCACATTTGAAATGGTTCTGAATTTTGATACGATATTTTTGCAATTTTCATGTTTCGCAAATTGTCTCGATTTGTAACTATGAAAACTACTATCGTTAGTCAATCCTATTGACTCAATACACAATAGGATTGATCTCATCTACAAAGCTTTATGTAACTTTCCCATCCTCTTGAAAATTCCAAGTGGCGTATAATTCATACGATCTGTGCAAACTTGACAAATTTTTGGTGAACATTTAGTAATCTTTATTGGTATCTTGATCTGCGATTTTCTTAAAAATTTAAACGACGTATAATTTATTTGACCAACTTGCATATTTCAAATTAGATTAAATTGCATGAACCTTTCAAACTTTGTAACTTAACAAACTCTGTATATAAATTTCTGAAATTGTGAAAAAGTGATACGTTTTCGGAGATATTTGAGACTAAAATCCCTCAAATCTTATCTAATATAAAACCCACATAGGAATTTCACAGAAGTCGATCTAACATCCTTCATGCAATGCCTTTCTGTAATAAATTCATGAATTTCTAAAATACTGAAAATAAATGATAACTTTTCAGAGAAATTTGAGACTAAAATGCATCAAACTCACGTGGGAATTTCTTGACCTCCCTCAAAAGTCGA